CCGGACTGAAATGGGTCTAGATAATCAGTTTCATCCAAGAGTGCTTGGAGTTTTCCCGCCACCACCCGCTCTAACACCTTGCCCAGAAACGGGATGTTGGCCACAGGTCTATAGTTAGTGGCCATCTCTGGATCCAGTGACGCCTTCTTCAGGACCGGTCGGACTACCGCCTCCTTTAAAGGGGCAGGCACCCGACCCTCCCTCTGAGAAGCGTTAACCACTTCCAAGATCCAGGTCCCAATCCCGTGCTTGAAATTATTTATTAACCAAGATGGGCAAGGGTCCAATAGGCAAGTGGTGGGACGTACTCGTCCAAGCACCTTGTCCACATCATCGGGCCACAATAACTGAAATTCATCCAATAATGCTGGACCAGACGGCAGCATTGGCGTCTCCCGAGAAACCTCTGATTCATTAGTGGTGTCTAGCTCTTGACGAATCTGAGCGATTTTCTCCCTGAAATGCCTGGCAAAGTCGTCACAGCGGGCCTTTGAGGGTGGAACCGGATCTTCCTTAGGACCCGGGCGAACCAGGCCATGCACCTCTTCCATCTTGATATCTGGAGGCCCCATTTCCCAGGGTTCATCCTCCACATCTGAAGAGTCCATGTCTCCTTGGCCCTGAAATGCATACCAGGAACAATTACCTCTTTCCTTCCCAACTAGTAGTGTGGTTCAGGTTCAGTGTTCTTACCAGCTACAGAATCTGCTAGAGCCACAAACCACATTCTTCAGTGCTTAGAATCTAAGGCTGCCTTTTGCTGCCAGAGTCAGAAATATTAAACTTAGAGTCCTTTTTCCTTTTCTGTCTTTTTTAAATGGTCATCATAGGTTTTACATTCCTCCCACTGACCTGATTTATTTACTGTAGGTTGCATCCAGACCTGCTTTGAAAAGAAGAGCTTCATTCTGTTTGCAGAATAAAGCAAGATATAGTAAAGGCTTTCTACTGGACAAAAGCAGCAGGGTAGCAATACTCTGTTTCTTTATTCTGTCTTCAGTGCCGCCTCCCCAAACTGCTAGAACAGTATGAGATGTGGTGCTGGAGGCTGCAGAGGGAATGAAGGGTTGAGAAATCTACTGCTCATCCCCCTTCATACAACATAAAAACATCTTGACATGGTTCTTGTCCAGGTGTCAATCAAGCATCGATTAAAAAGATGTTTTTACCCAGAGTGTATCCTTTGAAGTGAAAATACTGGGTAACAACCTAAGCCAAAGAACCTCTGAAGTGTCTTTTCTCAAAATGAGTTGCATTTTTCTGTTCCTTATGTTAAGAAGAAAGAATATTTTGGGTAACTCCCATGAAAATGCTGAAGAACTTGAAAGAGCGAATGAAACGAAGGAAAAAGAAGCTGCATTGTAAGTTTGGTGTCAATACGTCAGTTTGACTCCATTGCTGTATAATGCTTCTGCTTCTGTGGGTTGCAGTTACTTTCATTCCCTAGTTTTTGCTCACTCAGTGTGCTGTTACATACAACAACTGAAACTATGAAGCAATAACTTGAGGATTCTGGTCTTTGTGTGTGCGTGTGAGCATGAATGTAGCAATACATGTGTGCAGGCGTGGCATTTGTTTTTAATACTGCTGCTGTGGTGTTTTAATACATTTTGTATGTGGTGTTTCAGTACCACTTGTCTTTAAGTCAAATGTATTGTGGGAACATGCTGTGAGGAATATTTGTCCTTCACAAATGTAATATTCATAGTTGGTCTTCCTTGTGTCATTATTTTGTTGCTGTAACTGTTGCTTTGTATTAATTAGCAATGAGTTAGGATATCTATGAGAATCCTCTTTAGTTGTCAAGCTGGCAACTCTTTGTTGTATAACTCAAAGAATATAATTCAAATTCATATCAGGATTGTGCCCAAAGTGACAAAGCACTAAAATGTATGCAGTTTGTTTTTCCATAGAAATAAGTTCTAGAATGTAGAGGAGGAAGAATGGCTAGTTGATTCCGAGCAGACTCTTATAGCAAGCTCATTACATCCAGATCATTGATTACTTCAGCACAAAGCTTAAGTGAATATGATGGAAAAGACCAACATGTAACAGATGTAAGATTCTGTTAAGTACACACTGGAAAAATTAGCATTAAAGGACCTTTATACTTCAGTACATTTTATCTTGGCATCAATCATCCTGCACAGCTCAGTGTTATAACTTTGCATCCTTGTAAATAATTCACAGGTGTCTAGAATTCCTTCTTCAAAATGAAGCCAACCCTTCAATCCAGGACAAAGATGGCTACAATACAGTGCACTATGCTGCTGCTTATGGACACAAGAAGTGTCTAGAACTGGTGAGTAGGCCCTAATCACTGTTGAGATGCTGCTTTTCAAGAACAGCTTTTGAACAGCCATTGTTTCCCCTTACCATAGAGCTACTATTGTCTTTTGAAATCTGGGCAGTGTTTAGAAAACGGAAGGTTAACAGCAGGTGGATCAGGATAGAAATGTGAAATATGCTTCAGAATGTAAAGACCAATGGGGTATGCACTGGCAATGTGATGAGCAGAAATACATGGGGTCAGCTTTTTGATGGCCAGTTGAATATCTGCTTCCCTAGTTTGGCTGTTGTCAGCTGCCAAAGCGAAGTGCTTGTTTTCCTTAGAGGCTTTTAACACCATTTTTCTCCATGCATCTATCTGAATGTGTGTGGGATTAACCTTTAAGGCCCTGAAAGCCTGGTTATCTAAGGTTCTGTCCTATTATGAACCTGTCCTGTTATTAAATTGCATAGCAGAGGTATACGCCTCAAGGCAATGCTCTGGAGTGAACTTCTCATGCTATTTAAGAGCCATAAAGACTCTTTTTCTGCAAAAGAAGCATAGTTGATTCCTCCACCACCAAGCCAACACTGTAAGTATTTCTTTTGCACTTGCTTTCTCTCAGAGCTTCAGACTGGTAAATTCTATGACACTGAAAAGTGGAAAGGGATAGGAAGAAGTGGTACTTCTAGGGGACAGTTAAAAAGCATTACAAAAAGAGTATTTTACCAACTCTCAACTCACACAGAGCCATTTTACTACTCCACAAGCCTTCAACATACCATTTAACAACAATCTACATTTCACACTTATTCAGTTATTATAGGGATATTCCTTAGGAATGTCAGCTTACAAAAAGCCAATACAGTTCAGTGATGTTCATCTTCAAATTAACTTCGCAGCAAATGATCTCAGTTTCTATTTCTGATTAATGAATGCTTAAAAGAATTAACACAGTCAGGAATGAATGCATTGTGGAGAGTCTATTTTTATTTTATCTGTAAAAGCAGATAGGACTGACTGACACTCATTTATCTATAAATACATGAGTCCACCACTCATATGTCTTCTGAATGGTTGACTACAGAGAGAGATTGATGTGATTTGTGCTTCTGTATAATTTCTTTCTTTTTTGTGAATATTATTTAGACGGTACAACCGCTTCATTTACTACCCAGACTATATGAGGTTTAGTAGAGTAAATCTTGTCAATATATTTTATTAAAAATGATAACAAAAAGGGCCTACAACTTTACAATTTGTCAAACTGTGCCAAAAGCAACAAATGTATTTTTTATATATTCATCTATTAGTTATCACCATTATTTGCATATTACGAAAGACCACCAAGACAGTGCATAACCAATTTCAAATGAAATAATAAAACCCTAACCCATTAAGAACACTACACTAACAAATATTCTCACATAACGCTGGTCCTCTACCAGCTCCACTGGCTTCCAATTGAAGTCTGGGCTCAATTCAAGGTGCTGGTTTTGACCTATAAAGCCCTAAATGACTTGGGACCAGGATACCTGAAGGAACGTCTCCTTCCTTATATGCCCTCACACCCCTTAAGATCTATGGGAGAAGCCCTACTCCGGGAACCCTCTCTAAGAGAGGTTAAAGGTCATCAGCTTGGAGTAGGGCCTTCTCTGCTGTGGCACCCAGACCCTGGAATGTACTCCCCAGAGAGGTACACCAGGTGCCAAGTTTATACTCTTTTTGGCACCAGGTCAAAACCTTTTACTTTAAACTATTTTAAACTCTAATAGTTTTTTAGTTTAGTCACTCTGTTTGGTTTATTGTTTTGTTCTGTTTTATTATTGAAATGGTTGTTTTAATTGAGATCTTGTATAATAGAACAGCATACAATAAATAAATAAATAAATATTAAAGGTCCATGGCACAGAGATGTGTTTTAATGCCTTTTCTGAAAGACAAAAGAGCAGGGCCAATCCTAATTCTGGAGGGAGTGTATTTTGCCACAACAGAGGAACAAGAAGCTTCCTGGATACCGCTGAATCTGGAGCAACTCAGTTTTTATGGACTGTATCCAGCCATTATGGTGGCAGACCGGATGGCAGTTTCCACTAGCTGTCAGATGTATATTGTGCCAAGGCCCCAATATGATTTTTTGGAAAAACTCTCCCCTGAGGGACACTTCTCTGAAACATGTATCACAAACAGTTCCTTTGTTAATTCTTCCCTTCTGTTAGTCCCTGTCAGTCTTGCAATCAAATACATTGTTTTCCACATAAATGTAGCAAATGTGTTTAGTTTGCATAATTTATTCAAAAATGGTCTTGAGGTTTTAAGGCAGATCATTTCAGGTTTTGTGCAGACACCTTCTATTAGTATTAATTGCCTGGACAACACCATCAGAAAAGGCAGGCCTCTAACCCCAAGACCCTGTCAGGATAACATGCTTACCTGAAGCTTGCATAATTACTGGAGGAATTTCAATTATTGCGGCCCAATGATGTGGACAAG